CTGGCACTCTGGATTGGAAGAAACAAAGTTAAGTGACCACAATAATCTGACAGAAGATGATTGTCCGTGTGAGTCACTTACCTGGTATAATAGTTCAGTTCATAGTCCGACCAGGGGTTCCGATCTGAACAGGAACAGACAGATCCAGAGTTCCAGCTATCCACAGAGCGTTCAGGCATATTCAGAGTTCCATGAGTCCAACAACAAGCTCAGACAGACACCCTCAGATGGAGAAAGGTGGGCCAAGTGGTTGGGAGGAGACAGAGACAAGACATGGTACAAGGAGAACTGCAGAACTTTAAACTGGCTCCAACTTAGAACCAGATATTCGGGACTTTAAACTAACTCCCCCCGCACGCCGAGCCAAACAAGACCAGAACAGGCTCAGCAGAGAAGAGCCAGGACATGATCAGAAGACATGAGACAAACACCAAAAACCTTTCGACACAATGGCCTCCAAAAGCCAGTACATGAACCACAGACATAACTTAAACCAACAAAATAGAATAATGATCTGACCCCAATAGCTGGGCTTAAGCGTATATAAAGCAGAAGGAGTAGGTGGATGAGATGGATGATAATTAGAGAGTGGGAAGGGTATAGCAGGTGAATTTAGTGAGAAATTAGATCAGCTACCAGGGCTGCAATCATGACAAAATGATGAGATTTGGTAAACAGACGTAGACGATAAAACTTTTTAACAGTATTCTGCAGATTAAACTGTTAATAAGAACCAGGCTTTCAATAAAATTTGCCCTTAAAGTCCTCTGAACAGATGCAGTGCATATGTAAAAGGTTTGTTGCCTATCTTTATGATAATTAATGCAGGTGGTTGACAAAGTGTCAGGCTCAGAACAGAAGGATCCAGTATTAGAGGCGGACAGACAGATTTTGCAAAGCATTTATTAAAAACTGAACCAGAGTGAGCAGCGTCTGCGTTTAAGGTGGGAACCTCTGCGGGTGGGGTCAGCAGGTTAGTGAACATCTCTTTCTGGCAGGTGTGTAAAATGAGTAAATAGATCAGACACCAGTGCTAAGATCATGACACAAAGCTGTTTTTTGTGTTTTTAAAGTCTTTGAGTTGGTAATCAGTTAAAATGTTTTAATGATAAAACTGTTTTGTTCTCTCCGCAGTTTCTCATGTTGCCACAGTATCTGTGACAAAATAAGCTCATGTGCAGGTATTCAACATGCTGGTTGAATACCTCGCACAGCAGATGTCTTAAAGTGAGAACTAAAAATTTGAAAAAAACAGAGACACTACAAACAGTGCAAACTAATGTTTGTTTATCATTTCTTAGCCTAATGAAGGTCCCTAGTTTGGTTATCTTTAACATGACCTCATGACAATCCCATAAGGCTGTACAATATTCCCAGAGTGTCAGTAGGGAACGTTACATGAGAGATTACATAGATCCCAAATGGTGTCCCCCAAGGCTCCATCTTAGGGCCCCTTCTTTTCACAATTTTTTTTTTTACTCCCGAATCAGATCTTAATAAACATCAACATCAGTTACAATAGTGATACAGACAACATCCAGCTGTACATATCCACTTCAGCAGTTGACCCATTCCAGCTCTGGATAAATGCAGGCAAAAAAAATCATCTCATGGATGAAAAAAATTTTCTTTCATTGAATCGAACTAAACTAAACTCATAGTTTTTGGACAAAAGGAAGAGTGTTTAAAAGTAAGTGACCACAGAATATGTGTGAATATAAGTTTGGTGTCATAATGGACTCAAACCTTAACTTTTAGCGGCTCATAAACACAGGAACGAAGCCTGTCTTCTATCAGCTGAAGAACATCTCCAGGATTAAAGAACTAATGTCTCATCTGGACCTCACAAATCTTTCTAAAAAAGTGGATAAGAAAGCTGTAGCTGATCCAGAATGCTGCTACTTGCTTCCTCACTAGGACTAAGATAGTGACGAACATCAGCTCAGAGAATAGACTTTATAATCTGGGCTACATGACTAAACTTCCCTTGCCTCTAAAATATGTGTATCTCTTCTGTATTTAATAATAAAAGTGTAAGTTAAAAATATGCCTACATTTTTATTAGGCTCCCCAGTAGCTGCCAGATTGATGACAGATAACCTCCCTAGGGTCCTCAAAATAAAAATACAATTAAGCTACAAAAGTGAATTAACACTGCTAGTTCACTAAACACCTGCTGATCCAAGAGAAGAGGATTGTATAAAGTCAATGACTGGATGAAAGCAACTGGTTTTCTTGAAAAAACAGCGAACCTTTGATCTGACTTTGTGATGTGGTTGATCTGGATATATAAAGTGACCTGAGATGACATGAGTTCTAAAACTTACCTTATGAATCAATTTAAATAAATAAATAAATAAACTTTTCTGTAGATGTCGTGCTTGACCTAGTTCTCTCCTTCAGCAGCTATTTGTGGTATTTCATCTGAGTAGAAGATGTTCTTCTGGATGAGTTGGAAGTATTTCTACTTTGTATTTCTGTGTTTTCTAGTTGGTTTTGAGTTGCTGCTGCTTAGCTGGCTGAGGAAGGCCTGCATCACTTGGTGGCTGTGTACTGCATCGTTTCAACACTTAGACTTCATGTTACTCGGTTGGTTAACAGCGTATCTCTGAGGTAACATTCCCCATCTGGTAATCATCAGGTCTCCATCAGGTCTTTATCAGGTCTTCATAAGGTCTCCATCAGGTCTTCATCAGTTCTCCATCAGGTCTTCTTCTGGTCTCCATCAGGTCTTCGACAGTTCTCTATTAGATCTTCATCAATTCTTAACCAGGTCTCTGTCAGGTCTTCATTAGTTCTCAATAGAGTATTCAGCAGATCTCCATAAGTTCTCCATAAGGTCTCTGTCAAGTCTATATCAGGTCTCCATCAGGTCTATATTAGTTCTCAATAAGGTCTATATCAGGTCTCCATCAGGTCTATATTAGTTCTCAATAAGGTCTATATCTGGTCTCCATCAATTCTCTATCAAGTCTTGACCAGGTCTCCATCAGGTCTTCATTAGGCCTTCAGCAAGTCTTTATCAGGTCTCTATCAGTTCTCTGTCAGGTCTTCATCAATTCTCTATAGAGTCTTAGGCAGGTATTCATAAGGTCTCCATCAGGTCTCTATCAGGCCTTTATCTAGATCTATCATGTCTTCATCAGGTCTCCATCAGTTCTCTATCAGGTCTCTATCAGGCCTTTATCTGGTCTCTATCAGGTCTCTATCAGGTCTCTATCAGGCCTTTATCTGGTCTCTATCAGGTCTCTATCAGGTCTCCATCAGG